TATATATATATATATATATATATATATATATATATATAAAGGCAAAATCTTGCAGTTTCAATAGAGTTGTCGATTTCCTCTCATTTAATTAATAATTGGAAAATCTAACGTATTTTAATTTTCCATGTTTCTTATTATTACATGAAGAATTCCAGATTTTCTAAAATGCCTAAAAGCGACCTTTTTTTCCCTCGTTTTCATCTGATTGGGACTATCAAACGTGTTCGAGATCTAAAGAAAAAAAAATATGTTTTTACAAATCTTAAAGCAGCTAACGCTATCTAATGGATGTGACTTAACTGCATTATGTACTTATAGACAAATCCTATTACTTTGATTACGGCTAAATGATAACAAATCTATTTATCATAAAGAGATTGAATCTGTTATCGTAAATTCAAATCCCGGTAACGCCACGGGTTTCAATGGGTTTAATGCCCATTAAAGGTGTGTTTTCTTGCTTTGCTCCGAAGAAAAATAATCTTTAATCATTTTGTTTTTATTTTCGACTGTTATCATTTTGTTGATTTCCGAATATTATTTATCTAATTCATTTTAAAGTATATCTAATTATTTAGTCCAAATACTTTAAGATATTATTGATTGCAATCAACATGCTTTCATGAAACTATTAGATTCAGTTTATTGAGGCAAATCAACATGGTTTTCCTAGTCAAAGATATTGGGTAGATACAATCTTGTATTACCAACCTAACATTCACTATAAACTCAAACAGAACAAAAGTGTTGTTCTATGACTACTCATCTTTTCCTGATAATTATGTATAGTTTGCCGAAGAGTCTCTAAATCATACTGCTAGCCAAAGCAGACCACAATCTCATCACATTCCTCTAGTGACTCGAATGTTTGCATATAATAAATATCATGTTCTACATAGGTTCATAATCCATAACATTCCTTTTTATTGGCTTGATATAGAGAGAGAATTCCTCCTCTTCTTCCTTCTGCGTCTCCAAGCCGCATATACCTGCATGACAAAGGAGAAAATGTCAACAAGTAGAACAGGAAGCAGAGAACCAGTCGTGATCACGCCGACCCGGTTTCATGGACCGGACCAAATCGCGTTTTGCCTCCTCGATCCCTTGGATTATAAGCAATGGAGATGCGAGTAATGACCTGGCAAAGTCAACATCGTTGACTAATAAATATGGAAGAAGTCAAAGCCACCCGAGCCTACATATAATGCCCAGTCCTGGCACAGGTTTCTGTAATCTTACTCTTCTTCAAGAAGTTTGGTATGGATCTCTTCTCGGAGGAACAGATCACCGAGTTCTACGCAACCTTCTGCCTCTTTGACAAGAATGGAGATGGTTGGTTCTTCTTCTTCTTCTTCTTGGACACCCACCCACCCATCTTTGATCTGTTATGCTTCCTCTCATGCCTTTCACTGGATTTCTCAGGGTGTATCACGTTCGAAGAATTATCGACCGTCATCAAGTCGCTGGGCCTGAAGCCTAACGAAGGAGAGGTGCACAAAATGATCAGCGAAATCGATGCGAATGGCAATGGGACGATAGAATTCCAGGAGTTCTTGAACCTGATGGCCAGCAAATTAAACAAGGTAAAGCAAGAGCTCTTTATGGCACGCCACCGAATGGTTTCTCCTCGATCAATCTTCATTCAACACACGTTCTCATGGCAGGGGATTGACTCAGAGGACGAACTCAAAGAGGCCTTCAAAGTCTTCGACAAGGACCAGAATGGCTTCATCTCCGCGACCGAGGTGCGTTATAGGTCTCCCTGAGCTGAAGGAAGGCGTACGTGGGCGTGCATTAGTATCTGATTGGTATTTCTGTGTTCTTGCAGCTAAGGAACGTGATGATAAGTCTGGGAGAGAAATTAACGGATGAAGAGGTGGCTCAGATGATCAGAGAGGCGGACTTGGATGGAGATGGGCAAGTCAACTTCGAAGAATTTGTGAAGATGATGTCTGTATGATCACTATATAAAGAGTAGGCATTATCTGTACATGTTCATGAAGTTTTCAGCTTTTTCTTTGGGGGGGGGGGATACAGAAACAGTGGATGATTCTTTTGTAGTTTCAGACATTGACATACAAATTCCAAGTTCCAAACTCGGTTTTCCTTTCACAACTTTCCTCCACACTGGTCAAAACATGATGCAAAGACCAATGTGCAGCTGGCAAAGTAGTAAGAATATCATATTGGCAAGTTCATATTGAGCAAAAAGAGATGGACATTTATGATCTTCTCAAACGATAACATTGTACAGAAAATAAAGAGGCAATATAAATTTTTTTTTTCCTTTTTAATACTATTCATCATACTGCCAAAGTTTCCAGCATCTGAGAAATGTGGACATCCTAAATGCTGATGCTCCTAAATCCAGTCCTAATTGCCACAAGTGCATGTTCTCCTTCATATGATGCATAGAGATTGTCTCTTGGTCCCTTCAGGTACAATTCCTTTGGTCACTCTTTGTCCCTTTCTTTGGAATAAGGATGGTGAGAACTCAACAAACACATGAATTTTGTTCTGCAAATGATTGATCTGAAAGCAATGAAGAGGAGTCTGTCCACAAAGAATCTTCATTTTCTTAAAGATAAATAGGAGGATTCTGAAGCAGAATGAGCAGTAATGCCACAAGCAACACAACAATGGAATGGTTGAAATGAAGGCTTGAGCATATTTAGACTCCTTTTCTCCCTCTTTTTCTTCTTCAAAAGCCAATGCAGGAAATAGTTGGAGGAAGAAGAAAGTAAGCATTTATCAGGTGCCATTCTCACCCACTACGTGAAGAGGGCAACTAAGGACGGGTGATGATTTCCTTGGCCACTCATGGCTGCAGCAATTATGGTGGCGGTGGTGGTGCTGCTGCCGCAGGAGTGGTGTGAATCATAATCATCCAGCTCAAGTGGACATTCCCACCAGGCCACCAGCCTCATGGTTGATGGCGATGGAAAAGCCTTGGATGCTGCTCATTAGTACAACAAATGAGACCTTCCACTCTGAATTAACAGTTCATGTTACTCAAATGGTGACAATACACCAAAACTCTCAATCCAAATCCAACCCACTTAACCAATTTGATATGATAGTACAAACCAAACCTTCATGTTTACAACCTAATCAATCAAGTAATGACACAATTTGATACATTTATGGGACTCAAAAGTTACCATATTAATTCTTAAACCTGAACCCAACTCATGAAATAGTAAGGTTAAACATAACAATCAGTCTGTGACAAGAAGACTTTTAGGCTTAATCCAAACATAATATCTCTCCACTGACTTGACTTGCTATGTAGCAGTCAAAGATTGTGCCAGCCACAATCTTTTCTTCCTTCTTTCCTGTTTAAGTATATGTATTATACCCCCAAACACTTCAACAAGAACAAGGAATGGATATGTACCTAGTAAATAACCATTATGATTGATCTCATTATCTTCCCTTGCACTCTTTACAAATGGAGAGATGGAATTAGCTTCACATGCATTCTTATCCGGATCTGAAGTTAAGATGGTTCGTGCAGCATTCCTTCCTCAGGTGAGGAGCTTCTTCTCGTTGACGATATTGAGCAGGCGCGACACTCCCTGAGTCCACATCTCGTGCTCCCTCTGGCTCAGGCACTCGAACTCGATGACACGGTGCTCCGCGGTCCTCAAGCCAAAGTAGCGGCGCTGCTCGCCGCCTTGGAGCAGATGTCGGCCCGGCCATGCCTGGATCTCCTTGCAGACTTCTACAACTACATCTGCAATTAAGCATCGCCCAGAACAAGTCAGGCTCACAAGGAACTTGGAGTCCAGGCCTTGGGGGATTGTCCTGAAGAGAACTGTGTGGCCACTTACTCTTCTTCTTCTTGGTGATTGTCCCAGCAACATGCCTACTCTTCATCTTAAGCATGACCTGCAAAAAGAACACCATTGATCGGAATTGGCATCTCAAACCTGGAGGACAAAAAATTGAAAGATTTTGTTACCTGACCTACGCCATTAATGTAGATTGAGACTAACTTCCAGTGAAGTGCACCTAAAATTAGATCAATCGACACAAATGAATCCTTTGATATGAGCCTTTATAAGAAAACCATGAGAATGATAACTAAATTCGATACCTTTTCGGGTGCGTTTGAGCAGATCAGTCCCCTTGGCGAGGAATTCCTGGCTACAGAGGCCTAAGAAGTTATCTTCCTCTGGGACGAACTCATCGCCGAAACTGCTGCCATTGCTTTCCAAGTCCTTCTGTTGCTTGTTGCGGTGGTGATTGTTGTGGTTTCCCATGGCTCCCTTCTCCACTGGTATGACAGCAGCAATGTTCCACACGTCCTTGAGCGCCCTTGCCTTCAGGGTTGCCGCCCCTCGTAATGCTGGAACCCATTACAGTCTCATGGATCTTACCACACAAACAACGTGAATTGAAAGGTTTGGTAAGAGGGCGGTAATCACCAGTTGCAGCAGCAGCTGTAAGAGTAACGATATCTCCGGGAGTCCTGACATTAACAGCAGAGCCGACGACTGACGCCAGGTGCTCGCGCTCGGCCCCCATGGACTCGGCAGCCTCCACACACTGTGCGGCGACGAGGGTGGCAGCCGACGCGACCGCCATATCGATCCTGGCCGCGCGGTCATCTTTACCAGACCCTGAGGCGGCAGCGGTGGCGGCTGCAACGGCTGCCACCGCTGCAGCAACCCCAGCCACCGAGATTGCGGCATGGAGCTGTGCATTCTGGGCCCGGGTCTCCTCTTTCTTCCTCTCCCTTCTGTCCTTGAGCCACCTTCCCACGGTCTTGCTCGTCCCTCTGTAGTGCTGCGGTTTGGGCGTCGCAATTGCCCGGCAATACTGCATTCATTACATTGCACCCAACATGTAATGATCCAAGATTGTTCATTTCTTTTCAAGCGATCACTATCAGACATTTATTAGCATCCAACGTAAAGATGTGAGGTAAAATAACAATCTTAATCCGGTGTTGAGGAGCACCAACAAAAAAGAACCACTGCATGAGAAAGCTGTTTAGCTGAAACTACTGTCCATGGTATTGCCCAGAGGATAGAATGGACACAGAGTCCTCATGCTGGGCAGGGAGAAGGACAAACATTTGAATAGCAATATTATCCTTCGTGCTGCATACAGGATGAAGGACATCAGATAAGCCACAAGGATAACAGATGGTGATAGTGTAGCAATCAACGACAGAAGACAGACATGGAGGCAAACACTGGGATGCTGTTTGCTTTTACTGACATGGGTTGCTTCTTTACCCAGGCAAGAACTGAGGAAACAGGATTCTTTTGACCTCAAGCAACACAGATCCCATTGTCCAATGCAGGCTTTGCTCAGGGAGCAACAGGACAAAAGAAAGAACCTTATTTTATTCATCACAATGCATCTTTGGCTTCACTCTAACGCCTAAAAAGACCAATCTCATCTTCTTTATCATCCTCACAAGATCTTTGACTCTGTCAACCCCAACTTTGTCTATTAATCAACATCTTACAGGAATAAAAACTACCAATATAAGATGACATGGGGAGAAGAAGGACTGAAGGGGGCAAAAAAAAGCAATGAAGCTAAAGCTCGCAAAGTAGTAAAAGGGACCGTCAATTAATTACTCTGCTAATTATAGAGGTGTCAGGAATTTTATTGGAGGAAGAGAAAGGCATCTTCCTCTTTCTCCTTTCTCTTTTACAACCTTGTTTCTTCCTCCAAAATATTTCAAAAGGCATTGATAGCTCGGTGCCATTGGCTTGGGTACTCCATCTTCCAAAGAGACCATCTGTCTCCTCGAAGTCTGTAAATTACTCACCAAAGTTACTGGGATTTGCATGTTAGACTTCCAATTTGGTAGCTTTGAGGAGCAAATAAACTTGATATACACTAAACAAATTAAAATGAAATACTAATATGTTTCTTTCAGTTCTGCTGCTTCCTTGCCCATAGAAGTCTTAACACAGTGTATTACTAACCTTTTTCTACACAAATTTATATTTTGTTTCAATCAAAGCTCTGAAAATTAATCAAGTAGATTTACAAAGGAAGGTTAAGTGCCATGAGAGAAAAAAAAATGGAACACCAGAAGATAGTTTTCTTCTTTTCAATTTACAAACCAAAGAAGCATTAGTTTGAGAGAGAAGAAACACATCATGGTGAATTAGCTAACATAGAGCGTTGGAGAGAAGAAAGGACCTTAAGGTCATCCATTTCACAGGGGGAGACCGGAGGGCTGTCCGAGAGCGATCCGCCGCCGTTGAGAGGGCCGCTGCTGTGAGAAAGCCGGCCAGACGTCAGAGGAGACACTTCCTGCCATTGTCCAAGTAATGAAGAAGAATAAGAACATGGGATCAAAATTAGGCGCGGAGGAAGCTGTTCCTGCGGCTTGCGAAGGAACAAAAGACAGAATCTAACAAAATAGCTCAGGAATGAGGGTGTCAGAATTCGAGAACGTTCAACTATAATTGAATGCATTGAGCAGCAAGCGTTTTGTTGCTTTCCAGACTTTTCTACTACTAAAAACAAGAAGGAGAAAGGAAGAATTACTTCGTGGAGTTTGTCCAGAGAGAAATTTTGACTGTGCTCGTCACAAAACATGAAGAACAGAAGCTAATATGTTGTACTTTAAACAAAAGCAGCTTCTTTTTCATGAAGAAAGTTCTCAGTTGTCTGTCTTTGCAAGAAATTAAAACTAAGAAGAGGTGAAGAACAAGTAGAAGGACGCCCATCAGTGAGCTAGAAAAAGATGTGATTTTTAAGCAGCAGCACCCACCGACTGGGACATTATCCGCTCCATCACCATCTGCGAGGTGGCAGACGACGCGAAGGTGAACGGATTCCCAGCGACCACCACCAGCTCCTCTGGCTCCTCCTCTGGAATCGCCCCTGCCGGCGGTGGGAGCAGCGACGGAGGAGGTGGCGGCGGCGGACCCAGGGCCTTGGACACTTCGAGCGCGGAGGCGCTCCAGGACCGCGACAAGAACTCCATGGGGTCCTTGGGGACCTCCGGCGGCCGAAGGCCGTATGCTAGCGCGGCTTCCGCGCGCCATTGCTCTCTGTTCCCATCCATAAAGCCAAACAACAGCAGCCGCAGTAACAATCTCAATAATGATACAACAAGAGGGCGGTGGACAGTAGTAAGTGAAGATGGTAGTCGGGAGAAAGAGGCTGATGGTGGTGTTTTTATAGCAGAAGAGACGAACGGAGGCACGACAGATGGGTTGGAGTGGAATATCAGGAAGGGGGTTGAGACTGTTTTAGTGACGAAGACCAGTTTGCTCCTCTCACAGAGAGAGAGAGAGAGAGAGAGAGAGGGAGT